TCCCTACATCTAACAAACTCAGAAAACAAATCATAAATGGAATGATTTGATGCAAGGGAATATCACTAGCTCTTCTTTTTTATTTATCTAGGAAAATAAAGGAAAGTCTGGAGTGTTTCCCTGTTAAGTTGAATAACTTGATCCACACACTTGCACAAATGTCAGCCATCAGTCCTGCCAAATCTACTTCACAGAGTTTTCCCCTGGAATCCTGTGTGCAGAGCGCAACCAGGTCCATTCAAAGAGCAAGAATTTTAGGGTTCAGCAAGAAACCCACTAACGTAAGTCTAAACTCTTTCATCTTGGCTTCAGTATCACTTGCCTTCATCTAAAGTCATTCCCTTCCCCACACTGCACACCCCTTTGTACAGCATAATGTCATTTTACTATGCAAATGAAAAATCAGTTACAATTTAAGCAGAAGTACCATTAAGAGGGTGTTCTAAGGGGAAAAAAAATCATAACAAGCGAAGCTATTAGTAGAGAACCATCAAAGAGAACAATTCCTGCCCTGTGCGAGGACATAAATCAAGAGCTAATTAAAGTGTCCACAAGAAAAGACCAGAAATTAGGCAGTCTGTTCCAGCACATAAGATTATGGTATCTTTATATATTGTGTTTATGGGTAATTTTGCCTCTACAAATTGCACCACTTAGCTTTTGTGATCATTGTTGGCAGAAAGGTTCTTGCTTTGTGTAGTTTACATAAAATCGGATTTTAGAATTTATTGCAGGTTGACACTGCTGTCTTTTGATTTTTGTCTACTTATTTTCTGCAGCTGTATGTGATCCAGGTGACTCACAATAATAATGAAATAAGCCTGACAGAAAAGTCATTCGACCAGTTTTCAAAACTTCACGGCCAACTTCAGAAGCAGTTTGCATCATTGCCTCTCCCTGAGTAAGGCACTGTCCTTTCACATTGTTTTGCCTTCAGTACTTGTCCTTGAGCAGAAGGGAAAATTATGGTTATGGGATTTTCTGTTTGTAAGCAACACAGTACTCTGATTCTGATGCCATTGAATCTTTCCCAGCAGAGAGGCTGTACTGCTCTCAAAGTAAAGAATCTTTTGTCTCATAAAACAGAACAAGGTTTGCAATTTTCTTTTTACTTCCAGCCATTGATTTTGCAGACAGAAAAATTCAGAACCTATTTCATTTTTCATCAATTACTGGGAAAATTGCTTTATTTATCTGTGTTTAAATTTAATCTCCTTAGTATTTTTCTGTAAAAACAAAATTGAAATTGAAAATGCAGAACTAAATTGGACATATCTACGCGCTCAACAAATGACTGCAATAAAGCTCTTATATATTTGGTTTCTGTACAGAAAACAATTTAAATGTATTAAGGTCAAGTAGTGTATTAATAACTCACTTTCATTGTCATCATTTATTAACTTTTAAATTTTAGCCTTACATTATCTAAATTTAATTTGTTATTTTCAATTAAAATTATTGTTTCCATGCATGTTACAATGGGAAAATATTAAACATTAGCAAACTTCAAAGTATTATGAATATAACTGCTATTCAAATAAACCTTCTGAAATTCATCATTACAACCAACCAAATTTGACCTACTTCAGTGTACAACAAAGGTGTATTTTGGTGTTAAAAAGGTAACCTTGGCCCAGGGTCAGTGACATGCATTGCTAACACTTTGGACCATATGGGAGGCTCAGGTTTGATTCTCAATCCAGTCTGAAGAGGAGGCATGTGCTGCTTGACTCTGTAATCTTAACCACTCAGGGAGGCTGAGATAGGAGCATTGTGAGCTTGAGGCTGCCTTGATTAGCAAAATGAGACCCCATCTAAGAAACAATAGAGACCAGTATGATGGTGTACCCTGTAGTCCCAGCTAAGAGGCTAAGCAGAAGGAGCCTAACATGGCAAGACCCTGTCTTAATAACTAAGACTCCTAAAAGCACAGTCAATAATTCCCAAAATAGACAAGTGGGGTTACGTTAAACTAAGAAGTTTCTGCATGGCAAAAGATACAGTAATTAGTGTGAATTGACAGAATAGGAAATATTTTTGTGCATCAGATAAGGGACTGATAACCAGAATACACAAGGAACTCAAGTCGCTGTTCTGTAAAAAGATTGTCAATCCTATTAAAAGATGGGAGAATGAGTTGAAAAAAATCACTCTCTAAGGATGACATACAAATAGCCAAAAGGCATATGAAAAAATGCCCAACATCCCTCCATTGTAAGGGAAATGCAGATCAAAACAACAATGAGATACCACCTAACTCCAGTTAGAATGAATAAGATTTAAAAAACAGAAAATGATAAGTGCTGGCAAGGGTGTGCTGAAAGGAAAACCCTCTTACACTGCTGGTGAAAATGTAAATGGCCCCAGCCACTAGAAAACAAACAATTTGGAGATTCCTCAAAAATCTACAGATAGAACTACCAGATAATCCAGCAATCCCACTCCTTGGTATCTACCCAAAGGCCAGAAGGATTCTTACTTGGAAAAATGCTTGCACATCGATGTTTATTGTGGCACAATTCACAATTGCTAAGACATGAAACCAACCCAAAAGCCCATGAACAGATGAATGGATTGAAAAACTGTGGCACACATACTCTATGGAATACTACTACTCAGCCATAAAAAACAAGACCCTGGCTTTTAACAGAAAGTGGATGAATATGGAAGATTTACTGCCAGTGAAGCAAGTTAGGCAATGAAGGAGAGACATTGTATGTCCCCACTTAATATATACCAAGTGTCTGCACTCTGTGACTGAAATTGAATGACTAAAGGATATAGAAACACAGTAATCTTTCTGAATACCAGATATAGGTGTGAGATGAGGATGGGTGAAGGAGTAAAGACTGAGGAAGGACATTTAGAAGAAAAATAGAGGCAAAGCATTCATAGGACAAAGAAATGGGGTATTATCTGTTGAAGATAACTTTATAGTATTATCAACTGGACTGGGGAGAACTGTGCATATGTTGGAATATTCATTTTTGCAAGCTAAATAACATAAACTTGAAATAAAAAAGAATAAATCTAAAAGGATTTTTCAAATAAAAATAACATTTTTAAGTGATAAAAAAAATTAAAATAAAATAGTATAAAATAAAAGTTATGCTTGCCAGAAATGATAGTGTAACTTTGGCAAATCAATTTTTATTTAACAAAAACACTGGTATTTTTGTTAAGTGGTTCTTTAATGGTGTACATGTCCATAGTTTACCTAATAGTCTTTCTACATGTAGATTTTTGCTTGGTTTTCAGGGTTTAGTTACCTTCTGAAATAGAATATAAGCAAGCCTGTCAATGGAGAGCTATTGAAAATCAACTAGTACACATTCATAGAAAAAAAAAAGAACTATGCTTTTAGATGTCAAAGACTTTGAAACATAGATGCTTTACGCATCAGGGAGTCAAGAAATTATAGTGGGATCATGCTCAAGGGATTGAGGATAAGATAAAATAATTCTGGAGACATTAAGAAGTCACATCAGGTTTAAGAACTACAAAAAAATCTGATAGAATAACTGAGAAGAACAAGAGCAAGACAAAAATATTCGAAGTTTGGCTGCAAATACTGAATTCAAATGCAGTGGTTGCCATCAGAATCATTTGACAATTTAGTAGTATAAGCAAGTCATTGTTTAATGGTTGTCCTCTTTGGTTTCAAAAACTTCTCTATTCTACACTGCACATCTCCAAAATATATCAGTATTGTAAAACTTCCAAAGTGCACAGGACCAGCAGGTGGTGTGGTGGTTGAGGCGCTGGACACTCCCACATGGCTGACCATGGTTTGAGTCCTGGACCTGATGGCTTGCTTTCTCACTTTCCCTCTCTTTTTTTCTCTCTCTCTCTCTCTGTGTCTCTCTCTGACAAACTGAAATAAATGAATGAATAAATAAAATTAAATAAATAATTATTTTTTTTAAAAAGTGCTGGTAATCCCTCTTTATACACATCTTCTCAATTTTTGACTTTCATTAGGATTCTGCTTTGCTCACTACTGCTGCCTGAGAATGATACCTGCACTGATTTGCAAAGTATTTAAGTAATCTGTAGAGACGAGGAACATTTTGTCCTATGTGCCCTGAACAATATTTGTAGGCTGACACTCCCAAAGGGAACAAGGCTTATGGCAATGCATATAAATGAAGGGTGAGGACAAGATTTCCTCAGACTCCCAAATCTACTGAGAGAAACTGTAAGAGAATTATTTAAATCTGATTTGGAAAGTATTATCTGAAAGTCAGAATCATGAAGAATAAAATTTTAATTAATCACAGCATATCACAATGATTTTCCAATCAAGCCGTTTGTACTTCTGGGTATCTTTCAAGAGTATGCAGATATGGAACTATTCCTTAAAAGAGCTGATCTTCTTTAAAATTAATCTGCTTGAGAAGGATTGACTTACTTTCCTTCTCTTATTTTCATCATTGCCAGTCTCCCAAATATCCAGAATCTTCTTTTGGTACACTGCCCCAAGACGTAAAAGCCTCTGAGGGCCAAGAAAAAAGAAAATCAAAATATTGGTGTTGGTGTTCAGAAAAAAAATGATTAAGCCAGCTTCCACAGTGGTATATTCCTAGCACAATGCTTTGCAATGCTGGAAGCCATATGGAAGGTCAGGGTTCAGTTCCTTGACCTGCACAAGCCAGATGCACACATGTGCCGATGATCCAACTGACTAAGAAGGCTAGGGGAAGGACTGTGGAATGAGACCCTGTTGAGAGTACTTATCTTTCTCTCTCTCTCTTTCTCACTGCTTCTAAAGAAAAAAAAAAAAAAAGACAGAAACTCACTTTGAAAAAAGAAAATGAATGACTCTAATAATAATCAGGTATCAAGTCTACTTGCATGTCAGGTGTTTCCTAGTTTTATTCTGAGCAAAATTGAGGAAGGACATGATGGCACCTTCAGATAAAAGCTTGTAAAGATAATTCTCAATGATTGCTAGGCTCTATTTGGCATATAATTTCAAAAGAGTCCAAAGAATCAAATGACATCATTATAGCAGAATTCCACAATTCTCATGAACATATTTATACCAGTTACATTAGTACATGTATCTGTACAAATATCAACAATGTAACATAATTGACATTGAGCTCTATTTTATTCTACATTAAGAAAAATTTATATGTATATGAGTTAATATTTGTAAAAGAATTATTTTATTTAACTTTATTTTATTTATTTATTCATTCATTCATTCTAACTTGACCAGAGAGGGACACAGAGAGACAGAGAAAGTGAGAAAGCAAGCCACCAGGTCTGGGACTTGAACTGCAGTAGATCATGTGGGAGTCCAGTGCCCTTAACCATCACGCCACCTGCCGGCCCCTATATGAGTTAAAATTTTAAAACAGTCTAATCCAATTATTAAGTTCATTTCCAAAAAAGCAAAAATTACTTTAATATATTTATATTCTACAGTGATAGCAAGTGGCATACTGGTTAAGGCACTGGACTCCCATGTTGCTGACTGTGATTCAAGTCTCAGATTCAGCAGCTTGAAACACCAGACACATGTGTGCACATGCCCAAGATCCCAAAACGGACATACAAACAATCTCCTTATATATATATATATATATATATATATATACATACATATATATATATATATAACATATACATATATATGTTATAGATATAATATTTTGATTTATTGTATATTTTACTAATTTTTTGATAACTAAATCCAGATGAAAAATTTTAATACTTTGTGCCTTAGAATTACAAAAGACTTTTTTTTAAAAAAAGTAAAATGCTAATTAATTAAATATGTAAACATGTAATGTTGGACTTCCCTTTCATTTTCAGAAGGAATCAGTGAGTGGAATAGCATGAAATTGTCAGCTATTTACCTATGCTTGCTGCTAACCCTTCCCTGTCTCCCATGTTGGTTTTCAGGACAGCCAGGCCTTAGTCTCTACCAAAGAAGTGGCAGGAGAGATGAGGCAGTGAGAAGACTGCAAGCAGCTGCTTAGTAGTTTCATTAAAAAGATACATTGAAACAGCAAAATGCATTACCAACTGCTACCTACTGACAGGTCATCCCACCCAATAATTGGCCTTAATCAAGTCCAACCCATCCAGATGAATGGTTGGATACAATGCAAAGGAAAGTCTTCCAGTCACACTCCTGGGGGCAGTGCTACTTTGTTTCAAAAGACTAAGCCCAGATGGGAACATATGGTACTTGGTCAAGTGTTTGATTTAGTGTCTCAATGTCTCTGGTGAACTGAGAAGAAACAATAGAATCCGAGCTTTTTGAAATATTATGAATCACTAACTTCAGAAAGTATTTATTATACCCCCACATATATATAAAAGACAAAATATGTGGTCTTTCATAAAGACACTAAGAAGGAACATATAATATAATTAACTTAATATGTTAAATTATGCTACGTTCATATAGCACAACTGATCACAGTCATGCTAGTGAAACTCCCAGAATTAGTCCCTTATGCTATGGCTTTGAGAAATGTTTTCATTGGCCCTTCCATCACATGCAGCTGTCATTCTGTGAACAATCTGGAGATGCGGGGGGTCAGTTTTCAAACTAACAAAAATATACTTTCTTTCTTTTAAAACAGGTTTCCTCATTGGTGGCACTTACCTTTCACAAATTCAGATCACAAAAGATTCAGAGACCTCAATCATTACATGGAACAGATACTAAATGGATCACAGGAAGTTGCAAACGTATGTTACACTTTATTCCATATATTATTATTGAAAATATTTTTTAAATATTTTATTATAGCATTCTTGTAATCCTTCAGTCACACAATGCATGTGCATGCCCAATGTCAGTAAGATCCCTGAAAATCAGAACTATAGAACAGCACAGAGGTATAAACCTTGGGCTTGTATAACTTTTCGATCAAGTTGTATGTGGTAAATGGACTATCGGTGCTACAAAGCATTTTAGAGTTTCTGAGGAGTAAGAATTACTTTCAGGCAGAAGCTGAGCATTTGAGCTGGGTCTTTAACCGTGGGTGGGATTTAAAAGCGCTGGCCTGGGGAAGTATTTTCAAGTATAGTCACATCTGCAGGGACCCCGTCCATGGATTCAACCAACCATGAATCAAAAATATTCTGGAGGGGACCAGCAGTTAGCATAATGGCTATGTCCCTGGACTCCCATGTAATCGACCATGGTTCGAGTCTCAGACCCAGTGGCTTAAACTCACGCCGGGCGCATGTGCGTGTGTGCCCAAGATCCCGAGAGAAGAATGGAGGAGAAGGGATTGCGGTGTGGCCATCCTCCCAGGGGGTGATTTCTCACTTTCTGTCTCTGTCTCTCTCTGTCTTTCCGGCAAGCATACGTGCCCTGTAGCAAAAAACTCCTCCCCCCAAAAAAAAATCCTGGAAAAGGAGACCAGATAATAGGACAGGGGAAACACGACACTGTGATGCTGAGCAGAAGATTCTGGGTTTGTGTTCAGAGATCTCTCTGATCATGCTGAGCACACACGTGTCCATGATCTGGGCTGGCTGAAGCTGCCCAGATCACAGCATGGGCACCCCACTGGGAATGCCTATCTCTTTGCCTCTCTCACTCATGGAAGAAACAAGTATGTGTGGAGGGGGAAGGGAATTGGTCAGGTCTATACTGAACATGGACAGCTTTTTTCTTGTCGTTATTCTCTAAGCAGCACAGTATAACACCTCATCACCGAACATTTGCATTGCACTAGGTATTTCATGTAACCTAGAGATGATTTAAAGTGTACAGGAGGGAGCACAAAGATTCTGTGCAAATACTACATTGTCTCATACAACAGACTCGAGCATCCGTGCATTTGGGTGTCATGGGAGTCCTGGAACCAGAGAGAGATGTTAATGAATTGGCTCAGGTGATTGTGGACGTACAGGTCCAAAATCCGCAGGGTAGACTGGCAGGCTGGAAACCCCGCAAAGATGTGCAATCTGCAGCCAAAGGCATTCCGCTGGCAGAATTTCTTCTTGCTCAGAGGAGGTCAGTCCTTGTTTTATTCATGCCTTCAACTGATTGGATAAGGCCCATCGACGACATGGAGGGTAATCTGCTTTACTCAATGTTGACTGATGTAAATATTCATCTCACCCAAAGGACACCTTTCCAGAAACATCCAGAGTAACGTTTGACCCAAATTATGGGCACTGTGGTCCAACCAAGCTAATGCACAAAATTAAACATCACAAGAGTAAGGAGGAATTAAAACAATTAAGAAGTAAAATCATTGGGGGCCAGCAGATAGTGTAGCAGTTAGGTTGCTGGACTCCCACATGGCCGACCACAGTTCCAGTCCCCATCCGGTGGCTTGAAACTCCAACTGGGTGCATGTGTATGCATGCACAAAACCCCAGAAGGAAAATGGGGAAGGCTTGTGTCATGGCCATCCCCGCTGAGGGGTGATTTCTCACTTGCCCTCTCACTGTCTCTCTCTCTCTCTCTCATGCACGTGCCCTAAGCAAAAACTCCCCCTTACCCCCCAAAAAAGAAGTACTATCATATTCTTTACCACTCTAGTGGAGTTTACCCCTCCTTATGAAATTAGGACTATATATTCTTGATTTTGTTTTTAACTATTCAAATAGCAAAAATAAACACAGAAAAAAGAAAAATCCTCCAAAGAAAATTTAACAGCTCAAGAATTCATTATGAGAACACCCACGTAATCATGTAGTAGTTTCAGAACACATCTGAAAATTCTTTGCCACCTTCCCCTCCTCCTGAACCCATGGGCTTTGTCATTGTCTTATCAAAGAGAATATAGTGGAAGTAACATTTTTTAGCTTCCAAGTTAGGTTAGAGAAGGTCAGGCACCTTCTCTTTTTGGAGAGGTTTTAGCTATAGGGTGAATGTGCTCGCCAAAAAGACAGAGAGAGACAGAGAGATAGAAAGCGAGAAATCACCCCCCAGGGGGGATGGCCACGCCTCAATGCCTTCTCCTCCATTCTCCTCTTGGCATCTTGGACACGCACGCACACGCACCCGGCATGAGTTTAAGCCACCAGGTATGGGACTTGAACTGTGGTCAACAACATGGGAGTCCAGCGACATAGCCATTATGCCAACTGCTGGTCCCAGGTCAGGCACCTTCTAACAAGTCTTCCTAGGATACTCACTGTGGACCCTTCAGCTGCCAAGCTGAGCTGCCTTGAACCTGCCAGGTAGAGAAGCCATGCAGAGAGTGAACAGAGAGGTGTCCAAGGAGCACAACTGTTCCAGACCCCAGCTGGGATTCCAGCCCCAACCACCAAATGATTACAGCCTCATTCTCAGAGACTTCAAGCCGAACACCATGGTGGCACCCTGGCAAACCCTAAAACTGAGATATAATAAAATGGTTGATTTCAAGCCAACAGTTCTGCGATAGTCTACTTCTGGGAGTCACAGGTTTTCATTGTTGGATAGTATTCTATTACATGAATACATTACAGCTCCTTTGTAGATTCTTCTCTACTCCCCATCTAGAATGTTTCCTCTTTGGGACTAAATACACTGTTGCAATGAACATTCTTTTACATGATGATTCAGTGCACACAGTTGTTCATATACCTAAGTTTCCATAGTGTAAGACGTGCTTATATTTAGCAATCTAGGTAATAACCAATTTACTCTCTCACACTAAATAAAGGTTCCAGTTTTCCACAACCTCGTCTATACTTGCTATTGTCAGTCCGTCTAATTTTGGCCATTTTGATGAGTACGCATCTCGTTACACTTTTAGTCTGCATTTTCCTGTTACTAACAAACTTACACACTTCTTTAGAATTGTGTGTGTGTGTGTGTTTGTTTGTTTACATCTGGATATCCCCTTTGGTGAAGTACCAGTTCATGTCTCTCACCATCTTTCTAAGTGTTATTTAACTTTATTTTATGGATTTATTGTATTTCTGCATATATTCCGGAAAGAGGCCCTTTATTAGTTTAATAGGTTGCAAAGATTTTTCTCTCACTCTGTGTCTTATCTCTTTACTCCTTATAATGTCTTCTGGTGAACAGAAATTTTTCATTTTAATGTAGGACAATGTATCAATACTTTTCTACATAGTTAGAAAAACGTACCCTAGTTCAATGTCATAAATGTCCGAATCTATTAGGATAATAAGTGATCAATGTTTTTCTTTTTTATTCAGTTAGTGTGGTGAATTACATTAATGGATTTCCTAATTTTATATCTAATATTAAATTTAATTTCCTAGGATAAACCCTATGTGTTCACCATGTAAATTATCTTCTTTTGTTATTGCTAGACTTGATAGAGGATTTTCTTTAGTATCTGTTTTGACCTTTATATGTTAAAGACTGGACTACCATTTTTCTTTTTTCTTTCATTTTTTTTAATTTTGCCACAGGGTATGTGCAGTTCCTGGAGAGAGAGAAAGAGGTGGAAGGAATGTGAGGAAGTGTCTCGCACTCCGTGGGGAATGGTCACGCTACAAACCGTTTGCTTCCATTTCTCCCTCCTTTCGGGAGTTTGGGCACACATGAACACGTGCCCAGTGTGTTTCTCGAGCCGCTGGGTCCTGGCCTTGATCCACACTGTGGGGTCCAGCCCCCTGAACCACCACACTGGCCCCAGTCTTTCTTTCTTAGCATGTTCTTGCTTTCCAGGTTTCAGTATCAAGGACACACTGGTCTCGTAATATTAGTTGAGAAGCATTTTTGGTTTTTTTCCCCACTCTTTAGTAAACTTTATATAAATTTATTTTATTTCTTCAATTTATGAAGTCCTCTAGGTGTGGATATTTAGATTTTATTTTTTTTAATTTTTTTTTGGGGGGGGAGAGATTTTCACTGTAGGGCGCATGCGCTCGCCAGACAGACAGAGAGAGACAGAGAGACAGAAAGCGAGAAATCACCCCCCAAGGGGGATGATCACGCCACAATCCCTTCTCCTCCACTCTCCTCTTGGGATCTTGGGCACACACGCACACGCGCCCGGCGTGAGTTTTAAGCCACCGGGGCCGGGACACAAACCACGGTCGACTACGTGGGAGTCCAGTGACATAGCCATTACGCTAACTGCTGGTTCCCTAGATTTTTTTTTTAAAGAATTACAGGACAACTCTCATTTTCCATTTATTTTTGAGCCTATTTATTAAGTTATTTTTTTTAAGAATTTCTACTAAATTATTGGCATACATTTCCTAGCATCCTCATGTAATCTTTATCATTGTTAAGATCTGAAGCGATGTCCTCTTTTCCATTCCTGAAACATGTTGTTTATCATTTCTTTCCTTTGTTATCAGTGTTTTTCAGTATTTTATTTGATCAGTATTTCTAGAGGAGTAAAAATGTTATTAATCATTTTTTTAGAATTATTTTGTTTAATTTTTGTTATTATTATTTTTTTTTCAATTTGACCAGAGAGAGACAGAGAGAGATAAAGGGAAAGTGAGAAAGCAAGAAGCCAAGTCCAGGACTTGAACTGCAGTTGGCCATGTGGGAGTCCAGCACCTTAACCACCACACCACTTCCAAGCCCTGATTTTATTAATCTTTACAGAGAATGAAATGTAGGCTTTATTGAAGCTCTCTATTGTATTTTCCTTTCATTTATTTTTGCCTTCTCCTTCCTTTGCTTATAATTTGCTCTCTCATTTATAACTTCTACAAAGGACATTGTGTTTTTCTCTAATTTGGTCTCTTGAGGTCTGTCTGACAAAAGGGGCCAGAAGCTCTAGCCCTGCCCTGATGGAATTCCAGGG